TCAGCTTTGGGGTGTTTTCTATACAATCCATCCCCATTGTAGAGTCCAAAGAGGTAGCCTGCAACTTTGTACGCAAAAGGGTAGAAGGTACGCGGGGCTGCTGTGAGTTTTCCAGGCTGTATGGCCATGTTCCAGAAGTATTTTCTCCCAAACTTTCACCCACATCTATGGCAGGCATCCTCAGAGGTTGAAGGATCTGTTGGAACCTAGGCAGGTGAGGTTTATATATCTGTGGAATGTCCAGGTGGGAGAAATTATTCATGTCTGCTTGAGTCAAGTGTGAATGTTGCAAATGGCTACCTTCATTAGTATTTAATGGCCTTGTTGCTTCCTCCCTGGGGAGTCATAGAATCATAGAGTTGGAAGATACTTCATGGGCCATCCAGTTCAAACCCCTTCCATAAAGCAGGAAAATTATATTCAAAGCACCCTGATAGATAGCCATACAGCCTCTGTTTAAAAGCCTCCAAAGAAGGAGCCATCACCACACTCCGGGGCAGAGAGTTCCTCTGCTGAAAAGCGCTCACCATTAGGAAGTTCTTCCTAATGTTCAGGTTGAATCTCCTTTCCTGTAGTTTGAACCATTGTTCCATTGCGTCCTAGTCTCCAGGGCCACAGAAAACAAGCTTGCTCCCTCCTCCCTATGACTTCCTCTCACATATTTATCCATGGCCATCATGTATCCTCTCAGCCTTCTCTTCTGCAAGCGAAACAGTCCTTTGTTGGGTAGTGTTAGATTGCCCTGATTGATTATTGCCTGGAATTCTCCTGCTTTTTACATTAGGTGACATTTCCAGCCATTTGCAACCTTGCATGAGCAATATTCTTAGTTCCAATGGCTAGAGAGAGCTCCTCTATCTTTAGCATTTGTGTCGAAAAAGGTAGGAAAACAGGTGTTGTCTACCTTTTTCTACATAATAAATGTTAACTTTCTGGGACTTCCTTCTTCTACGCAACTGAAGGTGCAAGACTCTCACACTCCCAGTTTTCACTCTGGCAACTCTATGGAATTATACACGTGTCTCAGGCCCCTTCTACTGTGTCCTATATGTCAGAATTTGATCCCACATTATCTGCTTATCCCAGATTATATAACAGTGGAGACTAATGTACTCCAGTTCAAATCAGACAATCTGGAATCATATCCTGGGATATAAGGCCGTGTAGATCCATTCTCACAGTTAAGATCCAGCAATGTTTTGTAATTTCTAGTGGGGCATTGTAGAATGTAAGGTGTTCTTAGAGTGGCATCCTCTCAGACTCCTTCCACACAGCTGTATAAAATCCACATTATCCACATTATCTTCTTTGAACTGGATTATAAGGCAGTGTGGACTCAGATAAAGTTCGGTGGATCGAATCTGGGAAGTGGGGTGAGCTCCTGCTGTTAGCCCTTGCTTCTGCCAACCTAGTAGTTTGAAAACATGCAAATGTGAGTAGATTAATAGGAACCACTCTGGCGAGAAGATAGCAGCGCTCCATGAGTCAAAGCACCCCATAACCTAGGCATCATCTGTCTTAGAAATTAAGATGAGCACCACCCCACAGAGTCTGACACGACTAGACTTAATGTCAAGGGGAAATCTTTACCTTTCCCTTTCTGGCAGTGTAGAAGGGGCTTAGGGGCTCTTCCACATAGCCATATAATCCAGAATATCAATGCAGAAAATTCCACATTTTCAGCTTTGAACTGGAATATATGGCAGTGTGGACTCAGATAACCCGATTCAAAGCAGATATTGTGGGATTTTCTGCTTTGATATTCTGGGTTATATGGCAGTTTAGAAGGGGCCTAAACCTCTGAGTTCTGGAGTAAGATCCACCAAGGACCATCAGACGTTCCCTAGAAAGTATTTGTAGAACTGCTGCCTTAGGGTCACTTGTGGCAAACTCCCAACAAATCTGAATCTTAGGCCCCTTCCACACAATATCTTCTTTGAACTGGGACATATGGCACTGTGGACTCAGATAACCCAGTTCAATGCAGATATTGTGGGATGTTCTGCCTTGATATTCTGGGATATAGGGATGTGTGGAAGGGCCCTTCATATTCAGAGAAGTGTATGGGTTTTGGTATTTCAATAAGGTTTTGCCAGAAAGGATATTGGAAAAGGCT